TGGAAGGCAGCAGGAGGGGCAATGTCCCTTCCTGTTATTTGTAAAAGTGATCCAGCTGCTAATTAGCCACTAGGACTGCTTTTAAAGCCAACCACCTGAAAAAAAAAACATCTGTAGCTGCATAAACACTCAAAGTCCAGTGATGTACTAGTAAGTTGCTGCTCCTTGTTGGGCATATATGTGATGTTCTTTTTTTTTATGAGAGTATTATCACTGTCTCATATCTATACTTGGCCATTGCAGCAGAGAACATGAGCATATGATGAATCTGGTCTGTGGACCAATATGACCGCAATTCATTCTTTTTTGTAATGCCCATATTGAGGGTTTGGCCCAAAAAAGTTTTAAATTCAGAAATGGTGATAGGTTTCCATACAAATTGTCTGGCAAGAGCTGAATTTGGGTGAGCGGCGATGTATTGTTGTGCGTAAAAAATTCCTTTGACAAACAATCAATTGGTACAAATCTTCAGTTAACAGCGGAAGGGCTAAATGCTAGTGCTGGCAGTGAATGGGACTGATCCTGCTAACACTGCATTTTTGGGGACAATATACTAAGGGAGCAGTAGTATAGTTCTGTTCATGATCAATACATTGTACCGTACAAACACTATACTAGTAATGACGGTGATCAGCGACCTATAGCGTGAGTGCGATAGTGTGCAGGCAATCTAACGTTAGCTGTCCCTGGCTGGGAGGGGTGATAACTGACCCTGACGCTATCTGATGGCACTTGTGGCAGTAATACAGTGATCAATGAAAAAATGTATATACTGACACTGTACTAATGGCACTGGCTAGGTAATGGGATGGACAAAGGGTTAATAGAGGTGATCAAAGGGTTAAATGTGCTAATCTAACATGTGTGTAAAATGTAGTGCTTTTACTCACAGTGTGGTGTTCTCTCTTTTCTCCCTGAACCAATGGGGGGAGGGGGAAGTGGGAGGCACACGCATGCATGCTTACACCAAGAAAAAGATCACAACGCAAGGGCAAGTAGTTAGAAAAAAAAAACATTAAATAAAATTCTCCATATTTAAATTTTTTTACTACAATATTTTTCTTTTTTTTTCTTACTGTTTAAAAAAATACTTTCACCAGAGTAATTTAATGTTACCATAGTAACATTGTACTACTCGGGGGGGGGGGGGGAATGATCAGGAATTTTTTTTTGTTCTTGACACTTTGCATTGCAGGTGCAATAAAAATCATTTCAACAGCACTGCTTTGCATTGTTGTGAATGGTTTAAGTTCAGGACAGTTCAAAATGCTAGTGATCTGTGATTGGCTACAGCTAATCACATGGTACAGGGTGCTGTGATTGGCCCATGCACAGCGTGAGAGATGTGGGCCAATCGCAGTCTTCACTAGGAAGGGAAGCAGAGCTGTTATGAATCAGCTGGATCTGCACTCCGGTTGCAGGGGAAAGTTGCGCTGTGCACTCGAGGGGATACACAGCACCCCCGTGTTAGTACAATCAGAGCAATGTACCAGGGTGTCGCTCTGCCTGTACATTCTGCTCACCCACAATACAAGTACTGTGAGTGCTCAGCAAATGATTAAATATGTCAGATACTTCCTGGCAAATGGTCTTTTCTCCTGAGCTTCTGCCTGGTGATGATGCCACAGTGATAACTATCTTTCTCCCAATCCTTTCCAGCTAGGGATTGGAGTGCTGCAGAATTTTATCTACTGGCTACAAGGGATGCACCTTGGGCATCTGGATATATCCTTATGTAATCTCTGGAAGGGATGTTCAGTTTTTGGTAACACTTTTGATAACAGGTAAAACAGGTAGCTGTATATTCAAAAAAGAACAAAGGTGAACCCTGGCGCCATGCCAGGCTCATTTACTAAGGCAGCAATAACTGCTTCCAACTGATGACCTGGTCTATGTATCAAACTGGAAGGAGAAGATTGGCTGGCAAACATTTTTCCAAAGTTCTGTTTCATATAAAGTTGCCCCCACTGTGGACCTTTTGTTCAGGGTTCCTCAAAGTTTATTTATTAACCCCGGCTCTACTGGACCAGAACTAGGGTGGAATCTGTAAGTTGCACAGACCCGGCAAGTGTCCGGGGCTGTAATGCATCATTCCTAGCCACCTGGTCTGCTTCCAGTGTGTGCGTTTTAATGTTAATATGGCTACCTCAGCAAGAAGCTGGAAGGCTGAAGACAGCCAATCAATTAACTTAGCATGCTTGGTCTACCTACCAAAGTAAAAAACTTCTAGCCCTTCAAATGGGACCAAAATAATGCACCACCCCAAAGGCTCTCTAATTCTCTACTATCTATATACAGTAAATGCAGGGCTTTCGAGTAAATTTCGAGTCTAGACCTACTAGCCAGGCACAAACCTTACTCTCCACCAGTTGCCCCACCCAACCTTGGCCAGGTCCGCCTCCAAACCCACCCCCAGCCCATCCCCAACCCCGCCCCCCATCCCTGCCCCCAACCATGCCCCCCTTAAAGCTTATGAAATTAAATTTTTCTTTAGAATAAAGAGTCCAAAACATAAAACTGTATACAGTAATGTATATCCCCCTCCCCTGTACTCCATTATAGTGATATAACATGTATACAGTAATGTATATCCCCCCTCCCCTGTAATCCATTATAGTGATATGACATGTATACAGTAATGTATATCCCCCCTCCCCTGTACTCCATTATAGTGATATGACATGTATACAGTAATGTATATCCCCCCTCCCCTGTAATCCATTATAGTGATATGACGTGTATACAGTAATGTATATCCCAGCTCCCCTGTACTCCATTATAGTGATATGACGTGTATACAGTAATGTATATATCCCCCCCCCTCCCCTGTACTCCATTATAGTGATATGACGTGTATACAGTAATGTATATCCCCCCTCCCCTGTAATCCATTATAGTGATATGACATGTATACAGTATGTATATCCCCCCTCCCCTGTACTCCATTATAGTGATATGACGTGTATACAGTAATGTATATCCCCCCTCCCTGTACTCCATTATAGTGATATGACGTGTATACAGTAATGTATAACCCCCCTCCCCTGTACTCCATTATAGTGATATGACGTGTATACAGTAATGTATATCCCCCCTCCCCTGTACTCCATTATAGTGATATGACCTGTATACAGTATGTATATCCCCCTCCCCTGTACTCCATTATAGTGATGACATGTATACAGTACTTACTCCTCGAGTCCCCCGCGGCGGTGGAGAGGGTGTCTCCTCTCAGTGGAGGAGAGCGGACCTCTCCTGCACCTGTCCCCTCAGCGGCGGTGCCGAAGAAGCCAGAAACCAGAAGTTGGAAACCGGAACTCGGCTTCACAATGAGGCACAGCAGCTCCATCATCTGTGCTCGCCGCTAGAGAATTTCTCCTCGTATTTGCGAGCGGGCGAGCGGCTTTTTTCAAGCCATGGTAAATGTATACTCTTTTGATAGCTCACAGGCTTTGCTAAAGCATGGAGCTCTGCTTCTTGAGCTGGGGAAGAAGAATGCATTGACTCTAAATACAGAGTGTCCTTCTGGATGATAACTGCGTATTAAGTATGGGTCTAGCTATCCTCGTTTTATACCAGAATCAAATCTCCAAAAAATCAAATATTTGGGTCTTCAAGGAATGTATCCTCACTGGGCTCACAGTAGCTAATTCCTACAACATCAATTTGACACGTTGTTTTTCTTTGTCACCAGCCTCCTTCAACACAGGCAGTAAGAATCATTCATTAACAAAAAGTAATCACATAGTCATTTCCACACATTCAGAACAATTGGACTATCCCCACTACAATGGACCCACGGGGAACAGAGAGTCCCCTTTCCCCCACCAATCAATTCAGAGGGATAGGATGGCCTTATAAAGTAACAATCAGATTATATTTGAAAACAATTACAGCAGCCTATGCATTATCAGATCAAAAGGGGCTAAACCTGGAGTGGCCAACCATGCATCCCTAAAGTTTCTCAAACTTACCCGAGCATCCACGATGTTGGTAAATGTAACAATCATATCGTAGAATGATTCCCATATTTTGCTTCTAGTCAGCTACAGTGGGAGGAGTATTTGAGTTCCAGCACACAAGAATCAACTTGCATGCCTGGAACAAGGCTTTGGAAAGGGATTCTAATATAAATGTATCCTGCGTTACAGAGTCTAAGATACCAAAGAGGCATTGCTTAGGATCTAGAATTAGATTAGTTTGAAACACCAAATTAAGAGTAGTAACCAGCTCCTCCCACTATCTTTTGGCATCGCCATAGCATATGAATCAGTTCCCGCTTACATCTGCCACATAGGGGGTCCTGGCGGAGCCCCATCATACACAATTTTGCAGGAGTGTAATGAGCTCTAAGTACACTATACAATTGAGAAATGTGATGGAAGACCATCAAATAACTAAGATGGATTGACTAAAATTCAGATTCCCACAGGTCATCTTCAAAAGTCCCAACATCTCGCTCCCATTGCCCACTTGCCCTATTTGGGTATTTTTCAAGATAGTCCATCATAAGCATGTTATAGAATCGAGAGATGAGCCCCCTAGTCGTTGTAGCAGAGTACAAGTAATGAAAAGTAGGGGTAAGAGAGGGGTGCCATAAGGTTGATGGGCTTTGAGCAGTGACTTTATGTTTTAACTGCATGTAGTAAAATAACATTTTAGATGGTAAATTATATCTGGACTTCAATATATAAGATGACCATTGTTAAATATATGCTTTAACCACTTGAGCTCCAGAGGATCTACCCCCCTCAACTAGTAGCCGACCGCAGATAGCCGAATGACGGCTGCACTGCGGCTGGCCAGTTCTGAGTGGACGTCATATGACGTCCTCCCAGAACGCGCTTTCCTGCGCGCCCCAGGGGGCGCGCACCCGGCGATCTCCGTGATCGCTGTGTCCTACGGACACAGCTGATCACGTGATGTGGTAAAAGGCCAATCACAGCGGCCTTTTACCACGTGATCAGCGATGTCCAATGACGCGCTGATCAGAGGAAAATGCAAGTGCCGGTTCTCGGCTGCACTTTCCTCACGCTGTCAGATCGTGAGGAAAGTACTGCCGAGAACCGGCAGTTGTCAGAGCGGGGATCGGCACCGATCATCAGGTAACTGATGACCAGTGCCCTGATGATCGGTGCCCAGCAGTGCCACCCGCAAGCTCCGCCCACCTGTGTCCAGCAGTGCTCCCACTAGCTCCGCCCACCTGTGCCCAGCAGATCACCCACCTGTGCCCAGCAGTGCACCCACCTGTGCCCAGCAGTGCACCCACCTGTGCCCAGCAGTGCACCCACCTGTGCCACTCTGCAGTGTCACACACCTGTGCCCAGAAGTGCCACCCACCTGTGCCCACCCACCTGTGCCCACCAGTGCCACCCACCTGTGCCCACCCACCAGTGCTGCCCACCAGTGCCACCCACCAGTGCCACCCACCAGTGCTGCCAGTCAGTGCCACCAGTCAGGGCCCAGGGGTTGTGCCAGTCAGTGCCGCCAGTCAGTGCCCAGCAGTGATGCCAGTCAGTGCCGTCTATCAGTACCCATCATCAGTGTCACCTATCAGTGCCGCCTATCAGTGCTGCATATTAGTGCCGCCTATCCGTGACACCTCATTAGTGCTGTCTATCAGTGCCGCCTATCCGTGCCACCTCATTAGTACTGCCTATCAGTGCCCTTTAGTGCTGCCTATCAGTGCCGCCTATCAGTCCCATCAGTGCTGCCTCATCAACGCACATCAGTGAAGGAGAAAAATTACCTGTTTGAAAAATTTTATAATAGAAACAAAGAAACTTTTTTTTTTTTTCAACATTTTTGCAATTTTGTATTTACAGCGCAAAAAGTAAAGCGCCCAGTGGCGATTAAATACCACCAAAAGAAAGCTCTATTTGTGAGAAAAAAATGATCAAAATTTCATATGGGTACACTGTTGCATGACCGCGCAATTGTCAATCAAAGTGCGGCAGCGCTGAAAGCTGAAAATTGGCCTGGTAAATAAGGGGGTATAAGTGCCCGGTAGGCAAGTGGTTAATGACCAGGCCTCTTTTTGCTGCTCAGCGCTGCACTAATTCAACTGATAATTGCGCGGTCATGCAATGCTGCACCCAAACAAAATTTACATCCTTTTTTTCACCCAAATAGAACTTTCTTTCGGTGTAATTTGATCACTTGTGCGCTTTTTATTTTTCGCGCTATAAACAAAAAAAGGCCAAAAATTTTGAAGAAAAACAATATTTTTTATTTTCAGCTATAAAAAATATATAGTAAACTCAAAGTTGGTTATAAATTTAGGCCAAAATGTATTCTGCTCCATGTTTTTGGTAAAAAAAAATCCCAATAAGTGTATATTGATTGCTTTGTGTGGAAGTTATAGCGTCTACAAACTAATGTATAAATACTGCAATTTACGCCATTTTTCTGCTATACAGCGCTGCACTAGTTTAACGGACAATTGCGCGGTCATGCAATATGGTACATAAATGAAATTTACACCCTTTTTTTCGCCACAAATTGAGCTTTCTTTCGGTGGTATTTGATCGCCTGTGCGGTTTTTATTTTTTTGCGCTATAAAAAAAAAAGTCTGACAATTTTGAGGAAAAAAAAACAATATTTTGGACTTTTTGCTATAAAACATGTCCAGTAAAAAAAAAATGCAAAAATCAAATTTAGTCATAAATTTCTGCCAAAATGCATTCTGCGACATGTCTTTGCTAAAAAAAAAAACAAATACGTGTAAATTAATTGGTTTACATGAAAGTTATAGCGTTTACAAATGGTGGGAAAGATACTGGAATTTTTAGGGTTTTTTTTATACTAATAATAATGGCGGCGTTCAGCGAATTATGGTGGCGATCAGGGACTTATGGCAGCGACCAGCGACTTATGGCGGGACTGCGGCGGACATTCTGACATTGGGGGGTACTGACTTGGGGTCACTGACATCCCCAAAAACACTAATATGGTGATCAGTGCAAAAAAAAAAAAAACTGACACTGTACTAATGGCAATGGGGAGGAAGGGGTTAACTTTATTTTGCAGGGAAGGGTTATAGGAGTGAGGGGAGTGTTTTACTAGGGGGCAGGGGTGTGTACTGGGCGGGACAAGGCTGATCCAGAAAGAGAAACTGTTCTTTCTCGATCAGCTCATCCTCGAGCTGACAGGGAAGTGACAGACAGCACAGCTACTGCAGCTGTGCTCTCTGTCACTGTTTACCGCCAATCGCCCGGGACATAGCCGCTAAGGAGCGGCTGTGACCCGGCGACTGACATCTGTGGCAGAGATCCGCGGGACAGATAGGACGGCGGCACGCCTCGCGCGCGCCCCCTATTTGTTTACAAAACACACGTTTTAAAACGTGGTTTTTGCCTGTGCGTGCCGCCCTGCCGCCGTATATGTACAGTGGCTGGGCGGCAAGTGGTTAAGTGAGTTATCCCATACACTTTCCATTTAGAGACATATTGTAGTTTTGGCTAGTTCAGGAAATGCCGCATTACTCCATATGGGACTATAGGCAGTATGGCCCATAATATGCTGCAACTGCTTAACCTTAATCCAAATGTTATGCTTTAGGTGATATGTAGGAAAGGATTTATTTGTTTTACAAAAAGATTGAGTCTCAAGACTCTCCGATAAGGAGCTAGAGGCCGTGCAATGCAGGATCACATTTAGAGTAGAGGTATCAACTGGAGCTCAGTCAGCACATCATTCCGCAATATCTTTATATAGATGTTGCAGTTGGCTGGCTAAGTAGTACAACCAGGCATTGGGCAAAGCTATCCCCCCTCTATCCTTGGGACATTGCAAGTATTCCATTCTTATCTGCGGTGGACGGCCCCCCCCAAAGCAATGAGCGAAAAAAAATGGTATTTATGAATGAGAGGGTTTCCAGCGCAATCATGACTGGCGAGTTATGAAGAAAATACAACAACTGGGGTATACAGTGGGGATCGAAAGTTTGGGCACCCCAGCTAAAAATTTGTATTAATGTGCATAAAGCCAAGGAAAAATGGACAAATCTCCAAAATGCATCAAATTACAGATTAGACATTCTTATAATATGTCAACAAAAGTTAGATTTTATTTCCATCATTTACACTTTCAAAATAACAGAAAACAAAAAAATGGCGTCTGCAAAAGTTTGGGCACCCTGCAGAATTTATAGCATGCACTGCCCCCTTTGCAAAGCTGAGACCTGCCAGTATTATGGATTGTTCTTAATCATCGTCTGGGAAGACCAGGTTATGTCAATCTCAAAGGTTTTAAATGCCCAGACTCATCTGACCTTGCCCCAACAATCAGCACCATGGGTTCTTCTAAGCAGTTGTCTAGAAAACTGAAACTGAAAATTGTTGACGCTCACAAAGCTGGAGGGCTATAAGAAGATAGTAAAGGTTTTCAGATGTCAATATCCTCTGTTCGGAATGTAATTAAAAAATGGCAGTCATCAGGAACAGTGGAAGTTAAAGCATAAGACCAAGAAAAATATCAGACAGAACAGCTCGCAGGATTGTGAGAAAAACAATTTAAAACCCACGTTTGACTGCACGATCCCTCCAGAAAGATCTGGCAGACACTGGAGTTGTGGTACACTATTCCACTATAAAGAGATGCTTGTAGAAATATGGTCTTCATGGAAGAGTCATAAGAAGAAAACCTCTTCTACGTCCTCACCACAAAAATCATTGTTTGAACTTTGGCGATGAACATATAGACAAGCCTGATGCATTTTGGAAACAAGTTCTGTGGACCGATGAGGTTAAAATTGAACTTTTTGGCCGGAATGAGCAAAGGTACGTTTGGAGAAGAAGGGGCACAGAATTTAATGAAAAGAACCTCTGTCCAACTGTTAAGCATGGGGTTGGATCAATCATGGTTTGGGGTTGTGTTGCAGCCAGTGGCACAGGGAACATCTCATGAGTAGAAGGAAAAATGGATTCAATAAAATTTCAGCAAATTTTGGATGGTAACTTGATTGCCATCTGTGAAAAAGCTGAAGTTAAAGAGAGGATGGCTTCTACAAATGGATAATGATCCTAAACACACCTCGAAATCCATGGGGGATTACATCAAGAGGGGTAAACTGAAGGTTTTGCCATGGCCTTCACAATCTCCTGACCTCAACATAATTGAAAATCTATGGATAGACCTTAAAAGAGCAGTGCGTGACAGACAGCCCCCCCTCAAAGAACTGGAAGACTTTGGTAAGGAATAATGGGCAAAGATACCTGAATGAAAGACTCTTGGCTGCTACAAAAAGCGTTTACAAGTTGTCTTGCAAAGGGGGCGCAAGATATCAGGGTGCCCACTTTTGCAGACGAGTTTTCTGTTATTTTGAAAGTGTAAAATAAAAAAATCAACTTTTGGGGACATATTATAAGAATAATCTGTAATTTGATGCCTTTTGGAAGATTTTTCTCTTTCCTTGGCTTCTTTATGCACATTACAAATTTTTAGCTGGGGTCCCAAACTTTCGATAACCACTGTAAATATAATTTATATAAGATTCTCTCTACCTGTCAAAGATAACCAAATTTGGACCACATCATAACCATATCTTTAAATCAGGTCAACAATGGAGCTACATTCAATTGACAATAATCTAGTAAATCTAGTTAAATACCCAGGTATTTAAAGGAAGTTGTTATCATAACCAGACAAAAGGTAGGCACCGTTGGATCGGAGACCCCATCCAGTGGCAGCAGAGCCAATTTAGACCAGTTAATTATTAGCCCTGAATAATGTCCAAACTGTGAGATTATATGCATGATTGTATGCAAAAATGATCTTGTATCGTCATTGATAGCCAAAGCCGCGAATGGCGGTGCGGGTAGAACGCGCACTTGGCTCACAAGCGCCCCCTACCCGGTAATGCAAAATCACGTACATATACGTGATTTTGCGCAAACGTGCTGCCCTGTAGCAGTACTTCTGCTATAGGGCAGACGGGAAGCGGTTAATATTACAACTGTACTTTTATGATAACAAGGGGCTGTCACGTACCTGATTGGAGACTGAAATGGTGAGGTCGGCCTCACTTGTGTCACTAGCCCTGACCCCACTGGAAGTGGAACAGAGGGTGTCTAGGGACCAGGGGGACAGAGCGCCAGCAGATGTTGTTTGCAGCTCTTGCAGTTGGAGACTTTGGAAGACTGATGAACCTCCGATTCAGGATCAGTAGTAATATGCAGATCTGGTATGGTAGGTCGCCAGGTGTGCACCAGAGTAAGACAGGAAGCTGGGATGGGAGACAGGAGCAATGTCATAGGAATAGCCAGGGTCATCAATGGGCGGACAGCGAGGTACCAAATCATAAGCAAGCCAAAGTCAGGAGCAGAGCCAAAGTCAGGAACCAGTATCAAGCAGGAGAGAAATCAGAGTCAGGTCAGGAACAAGCCGGGTCAGCAACAAGGAAATCACACAGGAACGAGTAGGAAACGGGGAACAGCTGAAGACCAGTCAGCACTCAGCACAGGCAAAGGCACCTTTTAAATAGTCCGTCTGGCGCCAATCTTCACCGTGCGTGTGCACATGCGTGTGCATG